TTTTTTATATTTATATTCTACCCCTTTTACGTTATTACAGTCAATAAGAAATAATTTAAGTTWTAAAAAATTATAATACATAATATACAAATAATACTTTTAAACTAYAATAATAAAATAACTAAAATCGTTATTTTTGTTTAAACATCTAATTTTGTCCAAATTTAATCTCAAAATATCCATAAAAAAAATATGTGGTTATATATTTTGGATTTTTTCATTACAGTTTAAACTACTAATGAAAAATCTTGGTTTCATTAACTATATAGTTACATAAAAATTTAATATTTAATACATTTTTAATTACAAAATAATTTTCAAATTTTCATATTTTGATAAATTAATTCGTTCAACTTCTTAAATAAATACTTACTATGAATATTTTATTCAACTTTTTAATTACATTAACAACAACTTAAGAATTGAGAAGAACCTATTGRCTATATATAGTATATTTTTTGATCAAGTAAAAAATTATTTACTAATAATAATTTTGAAAGAAAAAATAGCTTTATCTATCACTCACCCCACCCCCCTTCCATACTTTTCAATACATCATTGATTTAACATGTAAATATTAACAATTTTAGTTTGCAAATTATTTAATTTCATGTGTTATCAGCTTATTTTTGCCAAATCATTTAGATACTAATCTAATAATTGTAATTTGGTATTTATTTGTTTGATTTTTATTTTAATCATATTGATCTTCGATGATATTTTACATTAAATTTTAATAAATATTTATTTTGACATGTGTAAATGTGTTAATTAAAAAAGTGTACATGCAGTAATTTTAAATCCCTTAAGTTATAAAAAAAGTGATATTTCACATTTYCCTTTGTTATTTTTAAGAAAAAGATGATTTACTCATGAACAATCARATTCAATATACCTATAATTAAGTCAGAACAACCAATTCAACATGTTGAATATTGTATTTAACAAAATGACACACCATTTGCGAATACTATAGGGATACATACTATAAAGGTAAGTAAATAAAATAATTTTAATTTAATTTTTACAACTTTTCTAGATTAACATAATTGTTAATCTATAATTTATTATTCTTGTAATAAAATTTAAATTTTCTTATTAAATTATTACATCATGTATAAGTTAGAAGTTTTACCAAATTCAATTATAAAAAAAAGGTTTTATTTATATTATATACTTATAATAAGGTACCTATTAATAATAGGTTTCTACAAGATTCCTTTTCCCATTGAAATTATACTGAAGTTAAATATTCGAAGCCATTTTATATTAAACATTTGGATAAGAAYAATTATTTGATTACCAGCTATTAAGTAAAAAATATGTTAAGAGTTATTTATGAATAATAAGGGAGTAATAAACAATAATAATGGGTTTCTTGATATAAATCGTAGACCCAAACTTTTTCAA